CATTCCAGTGAGTCTCCAATGATGTTCTTAACGTCCAGCGAACGTTCTGGACATTCCGGCGACTTTCATTGACGTTCAAAACACTCCGGTGAACTTCCGGCAATACTTCGGCGACTTTCCGGTGATGTTGAACATTCCGACGAGTCTCCGATGACCGTCTGACAAAAATTCGACGGTAGTGGGATGGAACAGCGTCTGTAAATTAAAAAATAAAAAAATAATAAGATTTTTTGGTAATAATTAAAAATATATAGGACTAATTAGTGCAAATGTTTTGTTTTGGGATTAGATGGGTTTTGAACTTTGTATATGGAACTTATTGGTAAGTTCCCCATTAGTTTTTGTCCACCATTTCAAACATATCTAATTCATCCATTTAATAAATACTTTTCAATTCCTACATTAAAAAATAAATAAATAAATAAAATTAAAAATACTAAGGTGTCAAGAATATTAGTTTTAGATTGTATATAACAAGAGTTTACAATTTTAGGTTATAAAGATGATAAAGTTAATTAATTAAGGTTATTAATTTATTATACTTATTAATATTATTATATTGTTAGATTATATATATATATATATATATTATATAAATATAATATATGTTGAAGTGGTTGATTTCGGTCTAATTCGGTGTACAAGGTACTTGAATCAAATCGAAAATTGAAAAAAATCAAATTTAAAAATCACACAAACTAATTCTTGTTAAAAAATAAATTAAGTATAACCGGTTTGGTCGTTTTTTTTTTAAATTTTTCTTCCATCCTTAATGTAAAATGTGAGAGAATGAGATAGAAGAGATAAAATGATTGATCGATTTATTAATAAATAAATAAAAAAAGAAGAGAAAGGAGAGAGAAAAGAATTTTAAAATCTTATTAACCAAACATGTTTTTTGATTTTTTTTTTATCCAAATATTAATTTTAAAAAGTAAACCAAACGTTTTCTTTGTTTTTGCTCGGTTTGAATGGAAATGCAGTTTCATTAATCACCCTCATTTTCTCTCATAGTACAAGTAATTGGCCTTTTTTTTTTTTTTTTTGGGTGAGCATAATTCGGATTAGTTTGGTGGGAGATAAAACTAGGACTAATCTGTTATTTACAATTCCATAAAAATTAGAACCAAACCAATGTATTTAAATCATGGAACCAATTCCAATCAAATCATTTAAAGACAGTTCGACTTGGTTTGGAACAACGGTTTTTACATAACATATCCACACAAAAAAAATCATATAACGTATTCAAAAAAATTAAACCTATCATAAATTGTTTAACATTAATCTGCCCATGATTTTTTGAAACATAACTTAAACAAACATAATATTTAGTAAATAAACATATTGCTTAACATGTAGCAAACATAAAACTCTCATCAAACAAGCATTTTGTCTTGGCAACAACAATTATAAAATTAAAATTATGCTAAATAATTAAAATAAATAAATAAATAACATTAGGGTTTTGTATATCAGATGGTAGGATTGTATGCACAAGGTGTATGGTATGTATATGGTTTAAGTTACATATGGTTTGGTTCATTTCTAATTTAGAACTGTGAACTCAAATCTGAAACTGATCTGAAAAGATCAATTTCCTAGTTTTCCAAACCAGAATCAAATCACAAATTCAAAAAATTAGTCAAAGCATATCGAATTGGACTAAACTGAACTGGACCGGCCCGAACCAGTTCGGATTATAAATTTTTCGAATTCCTTGACTCACAAGAAAAAGCATATCAAGTATTTGCTTATTTTTGTTGGCAAGTTATGTCTACTGCATTAGCTGACCAAGAAATTATTTATTTTTGTTGTCAAGTTGTAATGCTCCAACTTTTATTAATCGGATAATATTATCAATTTTCATATTAAGGTCCATTTATGAAATAATAAAATGCAGAAGCAAAACAAAATACATAGGATATTCAAGGTTCCCTCTCGCATAAATACAATGGTACAAGTTTAGTACGGATCATTACAAAATATGCCCTTAGGCTTACATTGAGAATTTCAAAAATGCAATAATTATAATAAAGAGAGTAATAACACATTGGCATTTTCACCGGTGAGTAACAAATCTCGAATCATTAGTAACCTAACTCCTTGAATTCTTGAACGAGACAACAAACTCCACACCTAAACAATGATTTAACGATTGAGATGAGCACAAGGTCCAGTAGGGATTTACAATGATGCAAAATAATGAGATCTATAGATATATGTGATCATGAATACTATCAGGTGATATTTAGATAAGTAACGTGCTCTTTTATATCCAAAATAAAACATACATAAATATATACTTTCATTTAAAAATAAATAAAAAGAAGAAAATATTCCACTTGATATTTCAAGGAAAAACTTATTTATTATCTTTTCACCTTATCATTAGCAATTTAAATGAAATGCTTCAATATCTCCTTTACTTTAGAAAGAAGTTTTAAACCAATCAATCACACACTCATACTAATCTTTAACCCAAAAACAATAATTTCACAATCAACTGTTATTACAATCAATAAAACACCAATTGTACATACCAACATTTAACATATAGACAAGCGATAGCATTCAATTCATTACAAAACTATCTCAATTACACACTTTCAATCTCCAACACAATTTCACCATAGCGCACATATCAACACAATCATGCAACCAAGTGACGAACACAACACAATTAACAACCGGCTTCGTTATGTCATTCCAACACAGTTTACCAAGCACTAATTTGGAAGGAAATCTGGAACTTACCTCAAAGTGCCACACTTTACCGGTGGCTAGCCGAAGGGAAAGCAGAACCTCCATATAGTCCAATAATCCACACGCTTTATTGGGCACAAATCGGAAGGAAAGAGAAACCTCTGTTAATACACTACGTTTTACCGGTCACAAGTTGGAAGGAAACAGACCGTCTTTTTAAAACTTTAATCCATCAACTCATCATATACATCATCATTTCGATTTGTAAAATTAAATCAACAAAGCATCGCGCGTACAACTCATTCTACAACAATCAACACTTCCTAGAATTAGACCAACAATCTTATTATCTCATGCATTTCATAATTCAATTTACCAATTCCGCTACCAACCTTCACAACATGAGCCACTTCTACAGCAAACATTTTCTTTCTTTCTCAATTCACAAATATTACATAACTCTAAAATCATGAGATTAACCACTTAACTCATTTAACTACTACAAATTATAAATACATCACACTTTTTTATGTGTGATGTATTTTAATCACACAATTCAAGTTTTGTCAAAGTGTGATCTTTGAGAGTGTAACACGTTTTGAATGTCTTTAAAAGATGATTCCATCACACGTTTTGTGTGTGATAATAATAAATATTTAAATCACATTTTTTAAGTGTGACTAATAACATTTAGATCACAGATTTTAAGTATGATTAATATCTAATAAAACCTGTGATTAATAGTGGGATAAGATCACATATTATATGCATTTCTCATCACAGTTAATGAGTGTGATAAAAAAAAGGGTTCAACATAATCAATATTATTTTTGTACGCGCATTTGAAGAATATAATACACACTATATATATATATCATTTGAATCACAACCACATATTGAATGAAATAACGTCATATATTTCATAAATGAAAATTGAATGTTCAAAAGTATATACAAAGGAATTAATAACAAGTTTTTAACTGTGATTACATGCATTAAAAAAAACCCGAAGAACAAAGTTCTTGAATTCTTTGACCATATTTTGCATCTCTCCAAGCAATTTCTGACTTGAAAAATGAAAACACAAATTAATTAAGTGACCGCTAGCACCATATGAATAAATTTACTATTTGTAGAGACTGTTCTAGTTAGAAAAGATAAAGTCAGACATTTTCTCATCACACCGACTCTTCATCTCCTGCATCAACAGAAAATGAAGAACCACTTTGACTGTTACTAGTATAAAATGTTTGGATTACCATATAGATATGACATATACATAGAATCAACAAATCCAAAATGAAAATCTTCAGCGCATGGCCAAATATTTTAAAGTCATAAAACCAAAATAAAAGCCAACTATTATTTAAATATAGTAAATAAAAGTCAACTATTTTAAAGTCATAAAACCAAATATACATGGAATCAATAAATCCAAAATGAAATCTTGAAGTAATTGTACCAACTAAATAAATAGTTTATTAGCAATTTAAAGAACGAAAGTTATATCATATTTCTATGTTGGATTTCAACTCATATTGTTTAAGACGAAATTAATCCATTCAACTCGCACTTCATCAAGTTCGGTTTCTGTGTAAGTCCTTTTTTTATTGAATTGCAAGAGGTTATTTACAAACAATTAGATAATGAAGATGATGTACAAGTATCATGAATATAAATATAATAATAAAAGTTGGAATTTATCTCACATTTTGTTTTTTTGGATGCTTTGATCTCTAATGAGGTCTTTCATATATCTCATTACATAAAACCCACATTCCACATTTGTGGGTTGTTGCGGAAAGTACATGAAAAGCATTTTCATTATTATTAGAAACTACATATAAAGTGTTATGATCAAGCTGAACAACCATTACCATAAATATAAGTATGACAAAATTAAAGAAAATGATATTGACTACGTGAACTACTTTCCACACTAAATTGGTCCTCCTCCTTTGGCATTTAAAGAAAATGGCATTCAAAGCAAATTATAAGGCAGTTATCTTCAATATACAAAAGCTTTTAAGACCAACTTCATAAATGATCTTTTTGCTTCATCTTAACAACTTAACAAGCTTCATTTCAATCAAGCCAGTGCTAATACGATATAGGATATATAATTTTGATTGCCCTTGATATCTTGCCCTAGACCCACTCCATCTCAGAATATTTAATTATGGAGGACCCTTGAACTAAACAATGATTTCCAACCTACTATTTTTGCTGCTTAGCCCAAAATGATTTCTAAAATCCCAAGGGCTCAGCACTTTCACAACCTAGATTCGGATAAATTGTCATAGAAAATGAAGGCTCTAAACAACAAAATGCATGCCAACAATATTAAAATTAAATACTGATGTGCAACTGAACCTCAATTTAGAACCTCCTATCTTACATGTAATAGGCAGATGATAAACCAACTCATCCTCTTAACAGAGGAATATATTTTAAAATACAAGTAGTGATCTAGTTTAGTTATCTCATGAAACACAAACATCCAAACAAAGTGTAGAACCATGCTAAAATTGTATAAAAAATAAAAAAAGCATTTTCATTTCTTCATAAAGACAATTAAAATGAAGATTGATAATCTTTTAAAGCGAGAACAAGCACTTGCCTCTTGGCATCCCAAACTTGAAAAGGAACATCCAATGAGTCAATGAAATTAAGGGAAATGAAGTATTTTTTCTAAGATGGTTCTGAATTACGACAATCTTAGATGATTATGTTGGGAAACATGACTGCTGAAACTAATAGTGCTTTGTGATAGTATTTGTTCACTGTATCACAGATAACAAGGCAAGCATGATGCATCTCACAGAAAGGGAAACATAAAGATAGATATCAACATTACATTCATATATCAACATTACATATACAAAACAAAAATATTGTAAGGAAAGAGATCTTACCAATCATCATTTGAACCGGCAAGAGTAGCATAAAGTGCACCAGACCTTTTCCAATTCTCTAACAGCTTCTTGTTGTTATGACTCTGCGCTGGACCACCAGTAACATGACTTTTATGCAAAACAAGAAGTAGTAATCTCTTTGATGGCCTCATTTGATGTAACTGATTTACAATAGAATTAAGCTACAACCAAAAGAAATTATTAAGAACCATATCCATGCGATTCTAACTTTGAGGAAGAGATATATTACTGTTAAAGCTTATGATCAGCAACCCTCTTACCTGGGAAAAGTTGAAATTATGCCTATTAATAAGCCCCACATTTGCACCATCGATAACTGCATCAAATGGATAATGTCACTGAAGCCACTCCTGAATGAGTGCACCTTCTAAGTTAGTCAGAATGCCATTCTTTTTACGTATTAATCGCTTGAACCATACACAAGCAGCAAATATGGGCCTTTATCACATTGAATACATTTTCAACAATACAATTACAAGTACATTGATCATTTTCAAACAAGTCTCTCAGGCCTAGCAGTACCTTGGCAGCCATTAGGAGCAGACTGCAGTCTCAAACCCCACCCCTGCCAAAAAGAGTTCATCGACATTTGATAAAATATTCATGTGATAAAGTAACAGAGATATGGAGTGATGCAGTCTACCAACATGTCCACTACTAGACATAAATCATTAAGATATTTATGGACAACAAGATGACAATCTAGTTATTCAAATTCCAAATTTGGAAGTAACATAAAGAAACAAGATAAAAATTATTGACAGCATTGTCCACTAATGTGTAAGAATCAACTATAGGAATCAATTCCAAAATAATATACATCTCAAGTAACTCCATGTGTTGAATTGCGGTATTAATCAATGAAGCATAAAGATAATGTCATACCTGAAACTGCATAAAATCAGCCTCAACCTCTCTTTGGCGTACCAAATTGGTCAATGAAGCAGTGAAGTTTTCAGTCTCTTTAGGATCAATATCAATGCTAACAAGCTTCTCTCCACACGATAGGCACACACCCATTTCATCCATTTGCATCCTCGTAACTCTCCAATTCCCATTTCCGAGCCACCCTTGTCCATGCCACCCCCTCCTCCCTTCACAACCTCTTCCCTCACCTTACCCACATCCCAATTCACCTCCCCAACCTCTGCAGCCCATTCAGACTCAAACCAACGCTCCACAACCCCAGCAGTCTCTTCCGTGACCTGCCTCACCGTGACACGCAACCGGTGCAACATTTCATAAACTCTATCAGCCTTTTAAAACTCTGGTTGACAAACAATTAACTCAGTACTGGCCTATGCATGATGATAGGAATAATATGTATAGTTTAATAAAACTAACAATTCAAGTCCAAGCACTTTGATGCCACATTGCATTGGATCGCCATACAATCACCAAAAAAACAAAAAAACAAAAAAAATTGATACCCCTCATAAAGCACCCAAAACCCTTGTTAATCACCGTTTGTGGCCCACATGCTAACCAATAAGAAATTTCATATCAATATAGATAACTTAGGCAAATTCCCAGCAAAAGAGTCAACGCCCCAAAAAAATTCCCAACAAAGAGATTTCGTTACAATTCTTAAAGCCAATTGTTTATAATTTTAGTATGTCGAAAAAAAATGAAAATTGTTCCCATTCTCAAACAAAATCAATGTCAACATGCAGATTAAAAAACAATCGCAAACCCTATAAACAAAATGATAAGGAAATATAAGGAAATAAATTATTTTCCAGCTAATAATTGAAAACCCATAAATAAACTGATGAAGATCGATATTCTGTTGATAAAGGTCCAGCTTTTGCAAGATGAAACCCAAAAAAGAACAAAAAAAAACCCCTAAAATTACCTTTGAAATTGGGCGGATCGAATTTGAGAGCGAGGTCGTACGATCTCGATTTGGAATTAATTGGATCAACCGAATGTGTTGCAAAGGCGAACCTGATTCGATCACCATCAGCTGTCTCGCCGGCCGATCACTGATTGCTAGAGAGAGAGATGAAAGAACGAGAGAGTGAGTGAGAGAGCGAAAGGCTACATTTAGGCCAGTTTCCCTGATTATGCCATTTTCAAAATTTTAGTCGCAGTCTAGGGTGTCTTTTTCTTCTTTATTCCCATTATCGGTGAGACAGCTTTAGCAAAGCCGTTTTCAAGAACACGACTTTACCAATGTAGTTTTTAGTGAATAAAAAATTTTAAAAAATAGTTCAATGCAAATGACTTTTGAAAAGTTATTTTCACTTAAATTATAATTAAATTCGAGTTAATTAAAAATTGATTTACTTTTGACTTAGTTTTCTAACCGGGAGTCCCATGCGAGTTCCGTAAGTTTCCACGACTCACGTTGGTCCCTCCCTAGGTGTTTGAGGTGTTCTCCGGACCTTTTCTTGACCGTTATACGATTTTGGCCCCCCGATGGACTATTTTCAAGCTTAGGTGCGAGAAAAGTGCCGTTTCGGACTTAGTTTTCAAACCGGGAGTCCCGTGCTAGTTCCGTAAGTTTTCAAAAGTTACATTGGTCCCTCCCGAGGTGTTTGACGTGTTCCCCGGGCCTTCTCGTGATTGTTACACGATTTTGGCCCCCGACGGCTTATTTTCAAGCTTAAGTGTCAAAAAAGTGCATTTTTTGATTTAGTTCTCACACCGAGAGTCCCGTGCTAGTTCCGTAAGCCTCCGCAACTTACCTTGGACCCTCCCGAGGTGTTTGGGGCATTTCCCGGTCCTTCTCGTGACTGTTACACGGTTTTGGCCCTCCCGGTGTCCTATTTCCAAGCCTAAGTGTGGAAAAAGTGTCTCTTTCCAACTTAGTTTTCAAATTGGGAGTCCCGTGCTATTTCCGTAAGTTTTCACAACTCACGTTGGTCACTCCCGAGGTGTTTGAGGTGTTCCTGGCCCTTCTTGTGACTGTTACATGATTTTGGCCCCCGATGGCCTACTTCCAAGCTTAAGTGTTAGAAAAGTGTATTTTCCGACCTAGTTTTCAAATTGAGTCCCGTGCCTAGTCGTTAAGTTTTCACAACTCAAATTGGTCCCTCCTGAGATGCTCGAGGTATTCCCCGGGCCTTCTCATGATTGTTACACAAGTTCGGCCCGCCGAGGCCTATCCTCAAGCTTAAGTGTGAAAAAAGTACATTTTCCAACCTAGTTTTCAAACCAGAAGTCCCGCGCTAGTTCCGTAAGTTTCCACAACTTACATTGGTTTCTCCCGAGGTGTTGGAGGTATTACATGGGCCTTCTCGGGACTGTTACAGGATTTGGGGGCCCCCCGATGGCCTATTTTCAAACTTAAGTGTTTAGGAAGTGCATTTTTTAACACAGTTTTCAAACCGAGTCCCATGCGAGTTTCGTAAGTTTCCACGACTCACGTTGGTCCCTCCCTAGGTGCTTGAGGTGTTCCCCCGACCTTCTCTTGACTGTCACACAATTTTGGCCCCTCGATGGACTATTTTTCAAGTTTAGGTGCGAGAAAAGTGCCGTTTCGAACCTAGTTTTGAAACCGGGAGTCCCGTGCTAGTTCCGTAAGTTTTCACAACTTACATTGGTCCCTCCCGGGATGTTTGACGTGTTCCCCCGAGCCTTCTCATGACTGTTACACGATTTTGGCTCCCGACGGCTTATTTTCGTGCTTAAGTGTGAAAAAAGTGCATTTTTTGATTTAGTTCTCAGACTGAAAGTCCCATGCTAGTTCCGTAAGTCTCTCCACAACTTACCTTGGACCCTCCCGAGGTGTTTGGGGCATTTCCGGTTCTTCTCGTGACTGTTACACGGTTTTGGCCCCCCCGGTGTCCTATTTTCCAAGCTTAAGTGTGGAAAAAGTCTCTTTCCAACTTAGTTTTCAAACCGAGAGTCCCGTGCTAGTTCCGTAAGTTTTCACAACTTGCGTTGGTCACTCCCGAGGTGTTTGAGGTGTTCCCGGCCCTTCTTGAGACTGTTACATGATTTTGGCCCCCCGATAGCCTACTTCCAAGCTTAAGTGTTAGAAAAGTGTATTTTCCGACCTAGTTTTCAAATCGAGAGTCCCGTGCCTGTTCGTTAAGTTTTCACAACTCAAATTGGTCCCTCCTTAGATGTTCGAGGTGTTCCCCGGGCCTTCTCGTGATTGTTACACGATTTCGGCCCACCGAGGCCTGTTCTCAAGCTTAAGTGTGAAAAAAGTACCTTTTCCGACCTAGTTTTCAAACCGGAAGTCTCGCGCAAGTTCCGTAAGTTTCCACAATTTGCATTGGTTTCTCCCGAAGTGTTGGAGGTGTTCCACGGGCCTTCTCGGGACTATTACAAGATTTTTCAGGCCCCGATAGCCTATTTTCAAACTTAAGTGTTTAGGAAGTACATTTTTTGACTTAGTTTTCAAATCAGGAGTCCCATGCGAGCTCCGTAAGTTTCCACAGCTCACGTTGGTCCCTTCCTAGGTGTTTGAGGTGTTCCCCAGACCTTCCATTGACTGTCACACGATTTTGGCCCCCCAGATGAACTATTTTCAAGCCTAGTTGTGAGAAAAGTGTCGTTTCGGACTTAGTTTTCAAATCGGGAGTCTCGTGCTAGTTCCGTAAGTTTTCACAACTTACATTGGTCCCTCCCGGGGTGTTTGACGTGTTTCCCGGGCCTTCTCATGACTGTTACACGATTTTGGCCTCCGATGGCTTATTTTCGAGCCTAGTGTGAAAAAAGTGCATTTTTTATTTAGTTCTCAAACCGAGAGTCCCGTGCTAGTTCCGTAAGTCTCCGCAACTTACCTTGGACCCTCCCCAAGGTGTTTGGGGCATTTCCCTGTCCTTCTCGTGACTGTTACACGGTTTTGGCTCCCTTGGTGTCCTATTTTCAAGCTTAAGTGTGGAAAAAGTGATTATTTCCAACTTAGTTTTCAAACCGGGAGTCCCGTGCTAAGTTCGTAAGTTTTCACAACTCGCGGTTGGTCAATCCCGAGGTGTTTGAGGTGTTCCCGGCCCTTCTTGCGACTGTTACATGATTTTGGCCCCTCGATGGCCTACTTCCAAGCTTAAGTATTAGAAAAGTGTATTTTCCGACCTAGTTTTCAAATCGGGAGTCCCGTGCCTGTTCGTTAAGTTTTCACAACTCAAATTGGTCCCTCCTAAGATGTTCAAGGTGTTCCCCAGGCCTTCTCGTAATTGTTACACAATTTTGGCCCGCTGAGGCCAATTCTCAAGCTTAAGTGTGAAAAAAGTACCTTTTCCGACCTAGTTTTCAAAACAGAAGTCCCGCACTAGTTCCGTAAGTTTCCAAAACTTGCATTGGTTTCTCCCGAGGTGTTGGAGGGGTTCCACGGGCCTTCTCAGGACTGTTACAGGATTTTGGGGGCCCCCGATGGCCTATTTTCAAACGTAAGTGTTTAGGAAATGCATTTTTTGACTTAGTTTTCAAACTGGGACTCCCATGCGAGTTCTGTAAGTTTCCACGATTCACGTTGGTCCCTCCCTAGGTGTTTGAGGTGTTCTCCAGAGCTTCTCTTGACTATTATACGGTTTTGGCCCCCCGATGGACTATTTTCAAGCTTAGGTGCGAGAAAAGTGCCGTTTCGGACTTAGTTTTCAAACCGGGAGTCCCGTGCTAGTTCCGTAAGTTTTCAAAAGTTACATTGGTCCCTCCCGAGGTATTTGACGTGTTCCCCGGGCCTTCTCGTGACTGTTACACGATTTTGGCCCCCGACGGCTTATTTTCGTGCTTAAGTGTGAAAAAAGTGCATTTTTTGATTTAGTTCTCACACCGAGAGTCCCGTGCTAGTTCCGTAAGTCTCCGCAACTTACCTTGGACCCTCCCGTGGTGTTTGGGGCATTTCTCGGTCCTTTTTGTGACTGTTACACGGTTTTGGCCCCCCCGGTGTCCTATTTCCAAGCTTAAATGTTGAAAAAGTGTTTTTCCAACTTAATTTTCAAACCGGGAGTCCCGTGCTAGTTCCGTAAGTTTTCACAGCTCGCGTTAGTCACTCTCGAGGTGTTTGAGGTGTTCCTGGCCCTTCTTGCGACTGTTACATGATTTTAGCCCTTCGATGGCCTACTTCCAAGCTTAAGTGTTAGAAAAGTTTATTTTCCGACCTAGTTTTCAAATCGGGACTCCCGCGCCTGTTCTTTAAGTTTTCACAACTCAAATTGGTCCCTCCTGAGATGCTCGAAGTGTTCCCCAATTCGAGCCCCGTCTTCTCCCACAAGTCTCTCGTCCCTTGGCAGTCGTGTGTGACAAGTTTCGTGCTAATCCGACCTCGTTTGGTGATTTTGGGGCGTCAACACCTCTAATTCAAGTTTTTTAAGGAACAAGTTTGCCTAGAGTGAAATCTGGCTCTGACTCCTAAACCGGGAACCCGATTGGAGTCCCGTCTTCTCCCACAAGTTTCTCGTGCCTAGGCGGTCGTGTGCGCTAAGTTTCGTGCCAAACCGACGCCGTTTGGTGATTTTGGGGCGTCAATACCTTGAATTCAAAATTTCTTAAGTAACTAGTTTGCCTATAGTGAAATCCGACTCTAACTCCCAAACCGGGAACCTGGTTGGAGTCCCGTCTTCTGTCAGAAGTCTCTCGTGCCTAGGCGGTCGTGTGTGCCAACTTTCGTGCCAAACCGACGCCGTTTGGTGATTTTGGGGAGTCAACACCTCGAATTCAAATTTCTTAAGGAACTAGTTTGCTTAGACCGAAATCCGACTCTAACTCCGAAACCGGGAACCCGATTCGAGCCCCGTCTTTTCTCACAAGTCTCTCATGCCTAGGCGGTCGTGTGTGCCAAGTTTCGTGCTAATCCGACCCCGTTTGATGATTTTGGGGAGTCAACACCTCGAATTCAAGTTTTTTAAGGAACTAGTTTGCCTGGAGTGAAATCTAGCTCTGACTCCCAAATCAGGAACCCGATTGGAGTCCCGTCTTGTCACACAAGTTTCTCGTGCCTAGGCGGTTGTGTGTGCCAAGTTTCGTTCCAAACCGACGTCGTTTGGTGATTTTGGGGCTTCAACACCTCGAATTTAAATTTCTTAAGGAACTCGTTTGAGTAGAGAGAAATCCGACTCTAACTCCCAAACCGGGAACCCGATTGGAGTCCCGTTTTCTCACACAAGTTTCTCGTGCCTAGGCGGTCGTGTGTGCCATGTTTCGTGCCAAACCGACGCCTTTTAGTGATTTTGGGGCGTCAATACCTCGAATTCAAGTTTCTTAAGTAACTAGTTTGCCTAGAATGAAATCGGGCTCTAACTTCCCAACCGGGAACCCGATTCGAGCCCCGTCTTCTCCCACAAGTCTCTTGTGCCTAAGCGGCCGTGTATGCCAACTTTCGTACCGATCGGACCCCGTTTTGCAATTTTGGGGCGTCAACACCTCGAATTGAAGTTTCTTAAGGAACTAGTTTGTTTAGATTGAAATCCGGCTCTAACTCCCAAACCGGGAACCCGATTGAAGTCCTATCTTTTTCCATCAAATTTCTTAAGGATAGACGAGAATCCGGTTCTAACTCCCAAACCGGGGACCAGATTTGAGCCCCATCTTTGTTACACGATTTTGGTCCGTGAAGGCCTATTTTCAAGCTTA